GTAAGAAGTGAAAATGTGTCAGGGATATATTTGGTTCTCTGGAAACAATCAACTGAGAAGCAAATGGAAGTTTTCTAAGGTGGAAAAATATACTGAAATACAATCTCTATCTTTTCTCCATGCTCTTACTAGAAAATGTCAAGGGTGGGAAAACCCTTTGGCCATAGCAACCACAAAAATCTTGGATGCAAATTAACACAGATTGCAGGATTTATACGAAGAGAATTCCCAATGTCCAAAAGACTTAACAGAGACAGGGAAATTCAATCATACAAAAATCAAAGAATTTAAAATCAAAATATTTCACCAGCTCTTCAATTATGTAACAAAACTATAAACAAAAAGATTCAAGAGAAATGGAAGGAATTTGACAAAGTATATCTTCAAAATATATTTCAGGGGCTGGAATGATAGCACAGCAGGTAGGGTGTTTGCCTTGCACGTGGCCGACCCAAGTTTGATTCCCAGCATCCCATATGTTCTCCTGAGCACTGCCAGGAGTGATTCCTGAGTGCAGAGCCAGGAGTAACCTCTGTGCATCGCCGGGTGTGACCCAAAAAGAAAAAACAAACAAAAACCAAACACAAAAAAACCCAAAATATATTTCGACAAAAAGTATCTTCATATATTCACGCAAGAAGAGTAGCTAGGTTACTGTCTTTTGAAAGAGAAGACTGAATGCAGTAATTAAAACTGGTTACTGACTCAGCCAAAGAGATCAACGGAAGGGAAGAGACAATCCTGAAACAGACACAATCAGGAGTGATTTCATCAGCACTGGGAGTGGATTCAAAGTAGAGATTACAGAATGGTGCCCGGGAGCACGCCAACAAGAGGAAGTGGGCATGAGACCGGAAGTAGTCCAAGTGGAAGGGAAAGAATGAGCTCCCAGCCATGTCAAGAATGTTTGGTTGCGAGGAAGTGACCAACTGAATTGAATGAAGGGCTGCTGAGGGGTCAAGCACACAAGAACTAAGAGCTGCTCCTTGCTTTCAGCAACATGAACTCATGAAGACTCATAACTGAGGTGACCATTGTGACTGGAATGAGACCAGGACAAGAGGTAAAAGGTCCATGAGGGTGAGGCTGAGTCTCTGGTCCGAAGAGGAAGTGGAGCAGACAATGGATGGAGGGAGAAGTGGGGCCAAAGGTGAATACCAGGAGGCCCCAGGGTATCAGCCTGCCAAGACTGGTCTGAAGGAGGAACCGAATGACAACTCTCTCGAACTAAAAGGAACAATGTCCTTAGAAAAGTCCCTGAAAGCCAGCACACCAGCAGAGCACTGGCTTAAAAGGAGCAGATGGTTCATCTGATGGGATGTGAGGAAAGGCAAGTCACCTGGACACTGGGACAGGGGGGCAAACGGAGGGTGATGGGTTCTGTGTCGTCATGGAAGAGGAAGATGACCAGTCCAAAAATAAAAAAATGTGATGTCTGAAAAGAGAATCAATCCATAGACTAGGCAAACGTCTAACTGCCAGTGAAAGTTCTACTTGATCAGACTTCACAGATGGAAATGAGAAGAGGGGCCCCTCCCTGGCATGCAGATTCAGGGCACAAGTCAGACCTGGGCAAGACCCTCTATCAAAGTGCATTTACATGCACACACACGTACACATTCACACACTCTTACATGTATGGTTCTGGGTTCTGGGAGGAAATGGAAGGACCCAGAGAAAATCCACCAGACATGGTAAAATGATGCAATCCCAAACAGTGCAGTATCTTTTCTCATTACTGTATTTCACTGCATATGTCTCCTTTTTATCATCCCCCAAATTGGCTGATAAGCTTTCATTGCGTGACGGTGGCATGATCTTCTCATCACACCGATTACAAGGTAAACAGGAGTATCCACTCGTGGCATGTGGATAGCATCTGTCTTCTTGCAGATGTGCCTAGATTTCTCAATGCCCAGGCACTGCCAGTGCATTTCCAAATTCAGACTTGCTCGGTTTAGAGAGTGTTTCAGTACTAATTATACTGTCACTCAACCCAGCGCCATAGGCACAAGGAGAATCAGTGGCAGGTGAAGCAGCCATGAGCAAGTCATGTGACAGGACTTGCCTCTTCCCACAAGGGCTTAACTAGACAGCTCATCTGCCGCTGAAGTAGCAGGTTCTACTCAGGTAAGAGTTTCCAAGGCCCCACTATGAATGAAGGAAAGCAACTTTTCCATGAAAACAGGATGCAACACGTGATCATTCTTATGGACATGTGGGTAAACAGGCCCTTTAATGACCACTTGTGCCACGGCTGTGAGTGGACGATGAGCAGTGATCACCAATCGATGCTTGCTGGAAACATTAACTGTTGCAAACGTGGAACCTAATTATCACATGGTCAAAGGTGTCAGAGAGACAGGAATTTCAAACGCATCTGATGGATCTGAAGCTGTGGCATGGTCAAAACACATGGGTGGCACAGAGGTAAGCACATCAGATAATGAACCAGGAATAGTGGTGCGGAGTGTGCGGACACAGAATATTACCTTTTGTAAATCCGTCGTTGGCAATACCATAGTAAATTTTCCCAATTATCTTTACTATAAAGCACAAATCAATAACAATGAATGCATTCACTTTTTTCCAGACCATAAAATGTTTGTTAAACTGTCAAATTATGTGCATCAATAGTAAAAGTGTAATTTTAGTACTGACGTACATAACTGAGCATTCAATTTTACTGTATATTCGCATGAACTGCATGATTTCTAATTCTGCACCAGTTTAGTCATAAATGTTCTTTAAGTAATATCACAACATAAAAAAAGCTTTACATTAATGGTTGCAAACCACTTTTTTACAAAATATTTTGGCATACAATCTCTTTTATATTAAGTAAAAAAAAAGGACATTATTCAAGGCCCTGCTATGCCAGTTCTATAAAACTACTTAATTTCTCAAACTACATGAACATTAACTATTCAAAAAATATTTTCGAATTCAATGAATTGTTTTATTTTGGAGGGCTGGAGCAATGGCACAGCGGTAGGACGTTTGCCTTGCCCGCAGCTAGTCTGGCCAAGCCAGGTTGATTCCTCTGCCCCTCTCGGAGAGCCTGGCAAGCTACCGAGAGTATCTCGCCTGCATGGCAAAGCCTGGCAAGCTACCCGTGACGTATTCGAGATGCCAAAAACAGTAACAACAAGTCTCACAACTTGTTATGAGACGTTACTGTTCGAGCAAATCAATGAACCACGGGAGGACAGTGACAGAGACAGTTTTATTTTGGATTCTGTTACCAATTCACCAGTTTCCTCGATTCATGTTGTTAAAGGTTCAAACTTCACAACAAAATAAGTAAAACAAGTTGACTCATCTGCATACAAATCTGCTAATTAGAACATTCACTACATGGTATCCGGTTTTCCTCCTATTGTTTTCTCGTTTTTTGAGGGGTCCAAACCTGGCAGTGCTTGGGGCTTACTCTTGACTCTACACTCAGGGATCACTCCTGGAGGCTTCAGGGGACCAAATGGATCAAAACAGCATCAGCTGTATGCCGGGCAAGCACCCTCTCCACTACACTATGACTTCAGCACCTCAGGTGCTCCTACTCAGAAGTAGGAAATAATCTCACAAATCAAAGTTGCAAAGTAACTCAAAGTTGCAAAACAGTATGCTCTATTTAGTTGTAAAGGTTAAAAACAAATTCTAGGGGCTGGAGAGATAGCACAGTGGGTAGGGCACTTGCCTTGCACGCGGCCGACCCGGGTTCGATTCCCAGCATCCCATAGGGTCCCCTGAGCACCGCCAGGAGTAACTCCTGAGTGCAGAGCCAGGAGCAACCCCTGAGCATCACCAGGTGTGGCCCAAAAAGCAGAAAAAGAAAAATTCTAAGATGTTATGTGTGCTCTTTTTAGAGAGAAAACTTTAAATTTAGTTGTCTTAAAGAGAGTATGAAGAGAGGAAAAAACTTAAATTCGATCAGAGATTCGAAACCTATGTTGGTGGGTTGAAAAGACTCAAGAAAGTTCAATCAGCTTCTTCTGCTGTTGGCTGAAATGGCATCGATGATCAACACGTGACGCTGCGGTATTAAGTTTTAAAAGCGGTAAAAACTTAAATGCATGTTTAGAGTACCACAGTTTTAAGTTCTCCATCAAAGACGAGAAGAGGCAGTAATTAATAAAGACAAGTGTCGAGATTTATTTGGAAATTCACAGTTTCTAGTGGCACTCCAGCTCTGTCGTCACAGAGTGCAAGTCCCCACCCAGCAGCACCGCACGCTGCCCAGACGGGCCCTCCCGCCTCCCCTCTGCCTCTCTGGGCCTCCCAGGGGGACGTCCAGACAACCAGGCCCTCCTGCTCTGCATGGCTAGTTGTACAGACTGGAAAGAAATTTAAATCATCTACGACATACTGTTACTAAAGCAGCAACTTAAACCAAAGGCTTTAAATAAGTCACATTACAAACAATACCCCAAGAAAGGTATTAGACAAGTTTAAAAACAGTTACTACTAAAAGTGCTCAATAAGTTATAACTTAAATCTTATAACAAAAAATGGTCAATTCTCCCCTTTCAAAAAGATACTACTTTTGCTCATTACCGTACAAACACACACTAAGAAATCATTTTATTCAGTCGCTGCCAATTATTTAAAAAAAAAAAAAGGACAACAAAGACTGACAGAATGACATCACACGTGTAGAGCTCTGCACACCTGTAGCCAATGCTAAGCAAACATCAGAGAGTAAGAATCCCTTCAGGCCTTCCGACTTACCCCATTAGACAGGCTTGGCAAACTCACTGGCTGGTCCTGTGAATATGTACATAGGCAGTGATTGATTTCAAGACGTGAGACCTGAACTCATTTGACAAATCTCCCATTTCTCAATTATCAGAACAGAAAACAATGATCAGAAATTTGGAGTACTAGTGCTTCCTTATGGTGCATGTTTGAAATGTAATGTACTTAAAGAAAACCTTTGCCAATGGCTTAAAAAGGTGAATTTGTTTCTCAATACCAGCCTTCTGCAAAAAAAAAAAAAAAAAAAAAAAAAGATCCTTTAGGGACTTTCCCTCATTGAGTTAGTGACCAAAGAAAACAAGTGTGAATGAGCTAAAGGGAAATAACATCAACAGCATCAGGCATCCTCGTTTCCCTCCAGAACAGGGTTTAAAAATGCCAGTGATTGTTCCAGTGAGTTTGCTCAAGAGCGGGCTGGCTGGACAAATCTCCAGGTTTTCCACTGTCGGACCATGTCACTGAACTCAGGCCCAGATCGCCTCAAAGCCTTGTAGTGTTTGCAGCTAACAAAGTTACAAAAGAAATCAAACAACAGAAAAGGGTTTCCCTCCTCTTCCAGTGGCATTATAAATAGACGAAAGGCACATAAATATGGGGAGGTGCGAGAAATAGGAACAAAGCTAAAGGAAGAGGTTTAGTCTTTCATTCCTATCCCACCCAAGGGACTGGGCTTCCAAATGACTTTGGTCCCAGGAGCTGGAAAAACATCTTTATAAAATATCTACCGGAGTCCTTGTAGGAAGTGATCAGCCTGGTGCAACTGGAGCTCATTACCCGAGACTGACACGATCCTACTACTCTTTAAAAAGGCAGGAGCCTTAATTTCAGAACACTTTTCCCATTCGTATTTCCTCCCTCCCCCAGACCCTCCAAATACCACAGACTGTTCTTCAAAGAACAACAAGTCTCCAGTCTGCAAAGTATGGTTCACTTCAGATGTGCCCCGAGACCGCAGTGACCCCGAAGGTGCCCACGCTGATTTCTTTGTTTCCTTTGATGATGTCGTGCAGGCTCGGCAAGGACCCCGACTTAGTCTGTATCAGAGTTTTTATCAGTTTTCCTTGCTCCTGGACTTTCGACCGCCTCCGTTTCAAAGCCCTCTTCTCAGTTTTTGTCTTTTGAGACTGTCCGTTGCACAGACTTGTGCAAGCTGAAATGCCACAAAAATAAGATTCTTCTGACTGTGACGAGGTTTCTGAGCTTCCTTCTGAAGGCGGACCCTTATACGAAGAGTGGTAAACTTCTCCCATGTTAGAAAAATCTCTCTGGTTTGTAAAGGGCTTCCTTCCTTTTAGGTCTCCGTTGGCTACAGGGTGCAACGGTTCTGCTGGCTTTATGGTCTCGATCTTTTCAGTTTTGTACTTGCAGCGTTTCTTCTAGAAGACAAGTAAAAGAAGGACTAGGGGTTAGACCTCCAACAGACACGAGTGTTGACCCTGGAGAGCTGAGCTAGTGGGGAATGCGCCATTCCTGGTGGAAAGGAAAGTAGCATTATACACGGTATCATTATGACCTTCTCAACCAAGTCTTTCCATACCCAACCGCCACTTCTGAATAAGGTTTAGCAACCTCAGCAAGATTTGAGTACCCGTTACTTTCAGCCACTCCTTACTATCTCTGAAAGATCCCTCTCTGCTTCCAAAAATGAGAACAACTTTCCTGCCAAGCCACAATACAGTTGAATGAACCGGCTTGGATTGAACCTAAACTATTTGGTGCAAGAGTTCCTTCCCTTTTAGATAATTACATTTAACCCGAATATATAACAGGAAATGCACGACAGGAGAAGCACAGACTCTGTAGCTTAGAAAGTTTCAAGCTTATAGTACACAGTGCCGCCTGTAACTTGAGACGCAAATTCACTCTATTTTCTAGTTTTAAAAAGATCAGATCAGAGAAGCAGATATGGGTCAGTTTGCAGGCCACTGCATATATCCATTTATATCATTACCAGATCGAAAAGAAACGAATTATGGACTGTTTTAAGATCTTTCAACCTTTTTGTTCACAGTAACATACTAAAAACAAAAACTACTTACCTTTTTTTCTGGAGAAAACTTGAGGGGTTCAACGATGTACAAATCATGTGGGTCTACTATAATGTAAAAAAGGGAGGAAATGTAAAACAATCCATTATGCTAGTAGCAAACCCCACCAACAGATCAGGTGACCCTAGTGACTTACTCCCTGACACCCCACTATGCTGGCATGGACTTCGTGACATTCCTATGCGGGGCTTGACTGTCACCTTCAAATGACATTCTCAAGGGCCAGAGAGAGAGGCCAGTGGGCTGGGGCACATACTTTGCACACAGGAGCCGCGAGTTCTATCCCTGACACCACAAAGAACCCCTGAGCACGGAACTGAGAGAAGCTCTGAGCAACACTGGATGTGGCACAAAAGTCAAAAAATAAACTAAAACCAACTTTATCAAGTGTTTCAGCCGAGACGGTGAAAATCCTTCTTTACTGCCATTCCTCATCTCTAACCTGATGACAAAAATAAGATTGCTGGAATATGGCTCTGTGGTAAAGAATCAAGTCTTGCGTACACGAAAACTGGATTTGCTCTTCTAGCACCACACAGACACAGACACACACTCACACACAACACAAAGTAACAACACTGCCAACGAGGAGATAACTCAAGGGCTAGAAGATACATGGCTAGCCATGTACCAATCCTTGAGTTTCTGCAAGCATGCCCCCTCCCAACTGCTGGGAGCAGCCCCTGTAAAACAGCAGCAACAACAACAACAAAAACAACATTGTCAGGTAAACTGAAAGCAAACCAATTCACCAGCTATTCCCCCCAAACTCTAAGGCACACATCAAGTTATGACATGGGTTAGTTACAAGCAACAGCAGGTGAAGATCACGTACCAAGCTGTTTAGAGGAACAGGCACAACACAAACCAAGGTCAAAAATGTTTTCGGTGTATCGCTCTATGATTTACAATAAAATGATGAGCACCAGATCCAAAGCTAGATGAATGTGGACTGCAAACAACGAACACACACTTCTGGCACAGTGAGCAATGAGGTAAATAAATTAGCTGTTTTAAGATTTCATTGTTTAAAGCACATAGAAACAAGCCTAGGCTACCCTCACACCAATGAGAAAAATATGCACATAGGAGAGTGGGCTATGAGATGTTAGTGCTATTCGACTCCCTAGAAGTTCACAGTATATGGGCTGACAGAGGCAGAAGCAGCAAACTCACTATAAAATTTTCATACACTAGAAGTCTATTAAAACCATTATTCAATCAATTAAAATGTCTCACACTGTCCTAGAAATTTGGAAAAAATCATCAAACATATTGACAACATTCAAACAATCCTCTAGTCATTTCTATCAGATTATTAATTTTATATTACTTTAAAAAAAGGCTGGAGCGATAGCACAGTGGTAGGGCGTTTGCCTTACAAGCGGCCAACATGGCCGACCCGAGTTCGATTCCTCCGCCCCTCTCGGAGAGCCCGGCAAGCTACCGAGAGTATTCGATATGCCAGACACAGTAACAACAAAGTCTCCAATGGAGACGTTACTGGGCCCGCTCGAGCAAATCGACGATCAAAGGGAGGGCCTTTACCTTACCTTTACCTAAAAAAAGGTACCTACAACTAAAAATAGTTTTAGTGTAATTCAAATCAACCCCTTCACTGAAAGTAACTAAATAGGATTAATTTGTGCACTGAAGAACTGTCACTGGGGAAAGTAAACACTAAACCAAAATTGAAGGAAAAGTAGGAATCCTGACAGTCAAGAGTAACAGTTATTTCTGTCTTGACAGCATTCTGCTGTACGTGTAAAACCGTATGGACTTTAGCTTAAATGGGTGGAAATCAAACCTCTATCGGGTAAGATATACTTTCTGTTCCACAGTAAGCTGGGACACTGGAACACGAAATACTCTGTCAGGCTTTCCCTCACAGAAAGAATGTAGCTATGCAGAGACTTTAGAGCCCAAATACTCACCAACAGAGGGCCCAGCAAACCCCAAGCCCTGAATATAAAGTATTTCTGAGTGTAAAGGCAGGTACAAATTTCTCTAGTGAAGATCCTCCCTCCTAGTGAAGGTCCTCAAAAATAACCCTATAGGTAACTTTCAAAGACACGGATGATAGACTAAGCACACAAAGGTACAAAGCACCTTGGGCAGGAGCCTGCAAAATACCAAATAAGCAGATCCACAGATATTAAAAATAGTAGAATCTGCGGACAGTTATGCTAAGGTCCCAGAGAACCCAGAATACTAATGCAAGGGATGAGACGAGCAGTACAGTGGGGAAAGCACATGCCTTCCATGGCCAACACGGTTCAATACTGTCCCTTGAGCACTGCCCGGAGAGACTCCCTGAGCACAGAGTCAGGAGTCACCCATGAACATCACCTCGTGTGGCCCCAAAACAAACAGAAAAAAGAACACTATGCTAAAGGAAACAAGCCAGATAGAAACACAACTACTCTAACTCCACTTATATGAAAAGTATCCAAAAGAGTCAAAATTCAAAAAAAAAAACCCAGAAAACAACAATGGCAGTCACTGGGGATGAAGATGGGGAGGAAAGCAAAAGCTGTTTAATGAATAACAGATTCAAGTCCATAAAAATCAAACAGTTCTAGAGCTGTTTTCATATTCCTGAACTGTTCACTTAAAAATGGGTGAGACGATATAGTCTGTTAAATATCTTTTTTATGTGTGTGTATATGTACGCATACACACACACACCCCTGATTTCTAATAGAGCTTAAAACTGACAAGAGGGCGAGTACAGAATAACAAAAGTAAGAGCAAGCTTTCATTAGAATAATAAAGGCCATAAGAGATCTAATTCAAGTAAGGTAACAGCAGAACCAAAATTAAAGGCCAGTTTTCTGCCTACCAAACCTTTTTAAATTACAAAGTGAAATATAACAGTGGACCAAAACAGATGTAAATCTACCTACCATCAGGTACAAAAGACATTTGTATCTGGCTGTGATGAGTCGAAGTAAGAGAAACAGTAAAACAGACTGATCTCCACTAATTTAAAATGAGAGTAGAAACGATGAGAAGAAAAATCGTCTCTACCATATTTCCCAACCACACATATACAGCGCAAGTGAGGAATGCTCACTACCCACAGAGTGTCCCAAAAACCAGCAACACCAAGGGCCAATGAAGATGTGGAACTGGAACCCAACTGCCGATAAAGGAAAATCCCAAAGCCTCCTCAAAGCTGGGCAGTAGTATTTACAAAGGAGGCCGGACACGCACCTTACAACCCAGCAATCCTATCTCCCGGGCTAGACCTAACAGAAATGTACACAAGGATTAACTGAGAGAAAGGTAATACCATACTAAAAACGATCCAAATATAACTGGATAATGGAATAACTAGAGGCATGAGAACAGACAAACTACGACTATACTTACTGGCCTGTGAATCTCATCAACAGCTAAAAGCCAAAATAGTGGCTAGGCAGGGAGGTGCCAGGCAGGCACAAAAGAGCTCCAGAAAGCTTCTGAGCTCAACAGTGCTCGCTCCTCAATCTGGGGGCCCACGTGGGGATGCTCAGTTCGCGAAAACTCACGACGCTTTACATATAATCAGACTTCCTTTTGTGTCACATTTACATTTAAAACGTGAGTTACAAAAGGACCTATTAGCCAAGAGGAGGGGGAAAAATGAAAAAGCAGAAAGGAGGAAGAAAAGTCACCAAAGGTAATGGGATTGAGTCTGTAAAGCTTCGAGATAACAGTAAGCCAATGAAGCTCGGGAATTACTTGATTTACTCTGAAACATGCTGCTCACCAGTAAATCCTGAAGCCAGAGAAGCCAATGACTGTTAAGAAAGCACTCATAATGGAAATACATCATGAATCTGGTTATTTCAACAATGCTATGATGGTAAGTCCTTGGGGCACTAATTATAAAAGTACAAAGATGGGAAAAGACAGTGACTCAGCATCTCTGTCTATTCCCTCCTAGAGTGTGAGACAGTGGCTGCACTGCAGAGTCGGGCGTGAAACAGACAAGCTGAAGTCTGATCAGAAAGTGCCTCATGGTCCTTGACCATGGACAAGAGAACCCTACCTGGGCAGGAAGAGGAGGCAGATTAGCCGGGGACGCTAGGGGAGGGCACTCAGGTTTTCCATAGCTGCTGAACTTTCTCAAACATCCCTTTCTAAAAAGAAATACTTCTGCACAGGAGCACAGACACTTGAAGCTGCCAACAGCTGATTAAACAAAGCCTGCCCCCCGCCCCCAACACCTGATGGCCTTCAAGGCAGGCAGATAAAAAAGTATGAAGATAGTTTTGACATGGCACATGCTTAAAGACTGATATCATTTTTTGTTGCAGATGATCTCAAACATAAGACAGTCTACGTAACCAGAAGTAAGCTAGATTCATGTGTATACAAATACATATTCACAAAAATCTACCTTCTTTGCCAGTGAATTGCAGAGACTTGGATCTGATGAGTGGGAATGAAGTTCTCCTTTTCAAATTCATATCATCATAGGAAGAGAAACACCTGACACATCAAGAAAGATCAATATGGGGAACCATGAGTAAATGCTACTTAACACACTCTGTAGTTGGGGTGAAGCTTTCATTAAGCTACCAAGAACTATATGCCACAACGAACTAATCTCTAAGGTAACAAGCCAATTACTGTTAAGACACGTTTTTTAAAAAAAAATTAAGGCATCTTCTCTACAAATTGTATTAACAAGGCTAATTCTTCCCCACCTGAATTCCATATTAAAACAACTTTTACAAGTTAAACTCTTTCTTCATAAGTAAACATTTCAAGGATTGTATGTATTACTATCAGGGTTTTCTCTTACTAGCCTATAGAACCTTCCAGGCATTGAAACACATCACTAACTCCAATGCTTTTTTGTAACATTTTGGCTTTTAGATAATCCTAAGAACTAGGGAATCCTCTTATTAGTCCTTTATTTGCTCAAATTTATAAAAATAAAAAATAAAAAACATTTTTTAAATTAAAGGCAAAAAACTGTAAGATATAAACGCAGATGTTACCTTTTAGGGCTTGGATACTGATTACTTTTAGGAAGTTTTGAATTATAATCACCATCAAACTGAGAGGCATTTCGACAGCGCTGCATGCAGACCATTAGTCCCAAGACAACACAGAGAACCAAAGATATGATAAGATAGCTTTGTCGATCTGAAACCTGAAATGACAAAAAGATTTAACACAATAATGATCGTAGAGGAAAACCAACCGCTACCCTAAGTTTAAATGGCAAAGTTATAAGAACAGTGTTCTCTTTGAAAACGTACCGCAAGGCGCTGCTCTATTTTTTTCCCAGGCCTTACTTGGAAAGTTTCCATGCAATGGGAAAGTCTTTTAAAAAGTAATACAACAGGCGCATTTGCTGCCCGAGCCCATGTGCTGCTTGTGCCCACGTGGCCGAGCACATGTGGTGCCCGAGCACATGTGTCGCCCGCATCTCCCCTCTTGAGATGTGTACTTTCATGCTTTCGTGTCTAACTTTACTCTCTCACTCTCTCTCCCTCCCTCCATACCTAAAAATCCTCCAAATAAAATCTATTTAAAAAAAAAAAAAAAGTAATACAACAAACATATTCATGCTTCTCATCTTTGTTCACCAATGGATCACATTTTTGTCTTTTCCATGTGCACCAGGCTCCTTCTCAGGAGAAAACAAACATCAGGCCTTACCCATTTTATAAATGAATCATCAACCACCCAATTAAGAAAAAAACCCGACGGATCATCCTCAATTCCTCATCCCCACAAGCCCAATCTTTCAACAAGGCTTGTCTTTTTTTTATTTTCTTTTTAGGTTACATCCGGTGATGCTCAGAGCGTACTCCTTGACTCTGCACTCAGGAATTACTTCTGGTGGTGCTCGGGGGACCATATGGGATGCCAGGGCTCGAACCCAAGTCAGCAGCGTGCAAGGCAAACGCCCTCCCCACTGGATTATCGCTCAGGCCCAGGCTTATCTTTCTACCTTCTAAAATATATTCTGAATTCAGTAACTTCACACTGTCTTATCTATAACCCTAGTCCAGTCCACCATCACCTCGCCCAGCCTCCCACGGCTGCCTGCTAAGAGTACTCTCTACTCCCAGTCTGCTGTTTCCTAAGAGGCAATTTTCAGAGCATAAGGAGTATCCAAAGTGTTGTCAGTGAGAAGATCCAAGTCACTTAATATTTCACAACAACTTGCAATTACTTTTTTTTTTTTTGCTTTTTGGGTCACACCCGGCAATGCACAGGGGTTACTCCTTGCTCATGCGCTCAGGAATATACTCCTGGTGGTGCTCAGGGGACCCTATGGGAGGCTGGGAATCGAACCCGGGTCGGCCGCGTGCAAGGCAAACTCCCTACCCGCTGGGCTATTGCTCCAGCTCCGCAATTACAACATTTTAAAATTCTAACTTACTCACAAAGGCCTCCACGACTAGGTCCCTCTGATACCCGACAATGTACTGACCTCATTTCTTATCCCCACTTTATTCACTGCAGCACCATGCCAGTTTCCGATCTGACCTCGAAAGAGCTCACACTGTTCCTTTTCTGCTGTTTGTTCTTTTTGGTTTGGGGGCCACACCCAGCAAAGCTCAGGATTTACTCCTGGCTCTGCACTCAGGAATTACTCTTGCCCGGGATCGACATGCCCTTGCATGGGATGCTGGGGATCGAACCCAAGCTGGCTCAGTGCAAGGCAAGTGCCCTCCCCACTCACTGTGCTATCTCTCCAGCCCCCTCACATAGACCTGGGCTGATCTCAACTCTGTGTTGCCGCTAACTCATCCGGAGCACTCGGGTTTAAAGCCCCTCCCCAAACAAGTCCCGTAAGAACGCCTGAGTCAAACCACTCCTCAGACGCAATGGTCCATTCTCCAGCCCGCGTGCAGAGCACATACCAGAAGAAGAAACGATTGCTTACAGAATGACTGCATTTATTCTCTGGGAGGCTAGGGAATCCACTGTTCCATACTGCATGCCTCCATCTAGTCTAGAGACTGCAAGAGCCCGTGCCTCATCTAGGTTGGCCAATCACCAAGTATTTGTTCAGAACCTACTTTGTAAGTTTCCCTGAACTGCAATGGAAATGTATACTGCAGCTACCAATGGTCTGCAAAAAGCCTGCTGGAACTGCTTTCTAACTGTACTGGAGGCAGGGTCTGAATGATGAAGGCTGTGCTATGTCCTTCTGTTTCAAGTGCTTAGATACTGGGTTGATAGGAAGTCTGACTTTTGGTTCAAGTGCTTAGATACTGAGCTGATAATAAGTCTGACTTTTTGACAACGCCAATAAACACTGCTCTTTAATACCAGCAAGAATAATTACCTCCCGTTTCAGTTCTGCCACTGTGGCTGACAAGTTTGAAACAAGCTGGGTCATATTGGTCAGCTGTGCCTGGAGCACCTGGATGGCTTCCGTCTGCCGCTGATCCTATTAAAAAAAAATGAAGATATATTTCTCTGTACATAAACTACAAAACTACATCGCTGCACCTTCATTCCATACAGCAACTACATCACAAAAAAACAACACAAAACATCAGATCAAGTTCAATTAAGCAATCCGGGAAAACCAGTAAGTTCCATGGAAGTTGAGGGTAGGTATAGTAACAGAAAGCTCTTAATGAGTATCATAAACTTTAATCAAAATTTTAAAAGACAAAGAATCTGGCACTGTTCCACCTACCTTCACCTCACCCATATACCAAAAAATGTGCCACTTTCCACTACCATGTAGAATATTGCATAATGCAAGTTAATAAATTGCTTTCAAGTAAGTATAGGTTTCATATGTACAAACCAGCCAATAACCAGCTATTTTCAAAAGAATCACTCTGTAACTTGTGCCTTTAAAGCAAAGTAGTCAACACAAATATTGAAAATATTTCAAAGAAATATTTTGGGGTATAAAGCAACTAAATACCGAAAAGGATCTAAAAGAGATTAGAACAGAACTGTGCACTGAAAATAAGATGGCAGTTCCAAATGGGGAAGCTTGTGCTAATCTGATTGTGGTCTCCAATGCGCCCCCTCCGCCCCGCCACTGCCTCCCCTGAAGGCAGTTCATGTCGAGTTCTCCCATCAGCACCAATGAAACAGTTTCCAGCTCGCTAACGAAAACGAGACAATCAGTCACAAGACCCTTTTGCCATTTCCCGTAGACTTTCAGTACCAGAAATCTAGGCCAACAATGAACCAACAATGCTTGTCCTTCTTACCAGCAAAATCTTACAATTCAATGAAGATATACGTAAAATAAAATTTTTACTTAAATAGGACCCACCTGTTCCTCTGCTATTCTTGAAGTGTTCTGAAGTTTTATTATCGTTTTATTGAAAGCCTTCTGCATTTCTTCCATTTGTTTTCTGTACCTGTGTAGATGCAATTGATTTAAAGTAGCTTTACTTTCTCACTTATCTCTTACTGGAAACACTTATGATTTCAATATGAAATGAATCATTTTGTTTTTTTTTTTTAATGGGCTTGTGCGAAGACAGCACAAGAAATCACTCAGAAATAAAGAGATCTCCTGAAGTATTTACAACCTGACCTAGGTAAAATTTATTAGTGGTTTCTAAAGTTCCCTTAGAGGGGCCTCTGTGGGAGGACTTGGAAAAGTAGCAAGAGCAAGTACAAGTTAACAGTGGCCATACAGATGCAGGCACATACATACAGTTTGCTCATAAAATATGGACAAAAAACATATATACCCCCTTAGGATATAAAGATCATCTTAGTACTGTCACGTAGTGTTTCAGAGTTTTCTGCAATGTTAATGCCGAGTCAGTTCTGAAGCACTGGAAAAAGCCCCAAACACAGTGGCGGCATAACGCACGACCAAATCCAGGGCTGTAACGGAGAGCAGCACCCAGGGTCTTCACCACTGCCCTGGCCTTCCCACACACCCAGAATTGGGAAGCTCGGGCTTCTGACAGGTGCAAGTGTTGTCTGTCAGTTCAGTTCACGCCAGCCAGCCTCCACTCACTTGAACTCGTAATGATACCTAGCAAAGAATCACTGAGTGTCATGGTCCAGATACTATGGTTTTCCCCGATGGAAGCTCTGGGAACCACAGAGTGAAAGTGGCTAAAATGAAGTAACAAAGAAAGAAAAACCTTCAATACAGATCATTTAAAATTGCTCCCAGTCTCGTAACAAATGTATTACGGTTTCCAGTACTTGTAAAGAACTAAGTCTTTTCAAAAAGTTGTTGGTCAGTATACAAAAAATCCTTTTTCCCTACTCCCCAGCTAAAATGAACTTCTTACTACGATGTCTTTGGAGAGTTAAATCTATCTTTCCTCTAATCTAAGACAATCTGCTCTGCTGTTACCCCACTGCGCAGCGTAAGGTAGGCTCATTCACAAGAAGACTTACCTCTGGCTAAGTTCCTCGAGATAGCGACCGCTGAGAGACATGTTAACTTCTAAGGCCTTAATACGATTGTTGAGCCGCATAAATACCGACTCCTTTTGGTTGGATCCATGCACCAGATTTCCGTTGGCATATCCCAGATCTGTAGAATTCTGCAGTTCAGCATAGAAGTCTGTAGCTGTGCGCTGCAGCCCCCTGAGAAGGGCGTCTTCCGGAGACTGCTCCTCCTCTCGGATCTCAGGGGGCGAAGAGTCCACCGCAGGAGTCACTGTCTGCTTTGGTGCATCAGCTGTGCTTGTTTTGGCTTCCCCGTCCTCACCGTCCGGCACGGTCGCTGTGCTCGCCATCGGCACAACTGTTTCCGGCACATCTGTGATTGTCCGCGTGGGGCTTATGTCTTCTTTTACAATAGCGTCTGTTGCTTCATTTGCTTTTTTAGTTTCATAGATCACCGTTGGCTTTTCTCCAGAACCAAAACTCTCCGGCTTTTCTGTTTCATTAGCAACCTCAGCCTCATTTTCTTGGGAAACGGCCTGGGATGACAGGTATCCTGTTTCAAGCTTAACAGAGTCAGATACTTCCATTTTCGATGAAGAACTGATTTCTGGAGTAACGTCTAGGAGAAGAGACTGGGAAAGAGTTTGCGGGTGGCTTGGTTCAAGTTCAATGGCATCTGCAGTGTTATTCCCCAGATCACCTGGGCCTGCCCCTAAGTCACCAGAAACACTGCTGTCAGCGTCCTCCTCCCTCCTCTTACTGTCCAAATCTCCACTTGGAGGCTGCAATACTGAAGCATCTTCAGATTCTGCAGGCCGCAGCTCCGGGACCTCAGCTGATGCGCCCTTTCTGTCCTTACTCAGAGCAGTTCTGCTGCGCTGCCGATAAAAAGCAACTCGGACTGAACACCACTTATATATGTATTCTGAAAAACTAGAAATACAACAAATTGTGGTCAGTTCACTGCAAAATATTTGTGTCTCTGCCTCAAACCACGGTGGAGATTCATCCTCTTGTTCACCACTGCCAAGAAGGGTCACTGTAGAAGGACTTGTCTCCTCATCTTCCTCCTGAACCAGCTGCACAATGGGACTTTCCTTCGGAGAATCTGGTGGTGACTGCTCCATGCCATGTCTGTGTCCATCAGTGGGCACAAGCCTAGAAACAGAAATTAGAATTACAGATCACTTTCACTGGCCATCAAAGTTAAAATTACAGTTAAAGAAAATAAAAGTAACATATGAAAGGCAGACTGGAAATATAAACAAAACCTAAAGCTTGTTTTGATGAAGATTCCCCCTTCAAATTCTTCAAATTATTAAAGCAAACACTTCACCTTAATAAAAATCCTGATTAACAGGCTAAACAGTATCATAATTCGATCCCATCTTTTGGTTACACAGTATGTAAGGGGTGGAGCTGGTGAAAAGTGTGTTGTAAATTATGTCTGTGATTCCTTCCAAGATAAAGACAATGACTTTTTGGGCAAGCCTTATAAAACAAATAATTTTAATACCAAAAAAAAATTTTCATTTACAAATTTTCCCACTTGAACAAGTCACTAAAACCTAACAAATCTCTTCAAATACAGACTAATATTACAACAGTAAAGGCAGGAATAAAACAGATAACATCCAAGAGTTAACTCATTCTGCCATTCTATCTCAGTAACTGGTCCAAACCAAAACAGGACTAAGTGAGCTTTTCTGAACATAGTACAGAGACACAAATATAAAGGTACTACTAATACTGCTGAGTCCCATCAGAGTTTATCGGTTACTTACAAATTCGATTAGTAGAGAAGAGTAATGTCTGAAGGGGGGGACTTAATTAATTTGGCACAAATTAAGTTATATACCTTCTATATACACTACAGAAAAACACTTAAATAAACTCAAGCCTGGGAAAAGAAAGTCATCTTTCCTGACTACTTTAACAGTGACACCCGATAAATCCCTTCAAGAAAGAACTTTTTTTATGAAAGATGCTTTTTCTGTTATTTTCTTTAGAAAATCACCGTGAAATCATCAGAAAACCCTTAAGGTAAATACGTACATGAACACTAAGGGGTTACTATAATAAGGGAATTACAAAGGACATCAAAAAACACAGGTGTACTATAAACAACAGAAACTGCTTAACTGGCCAAGAGAGACGTTCTCTCTCTACACACGGACAGAGACTTACAGAGATGTACAGAGCGGTGTGTGGATTTATGAAACACTTTTTATTTCATTTTGAGCAGAAAGACATACTAGGTAGTGTTCATGAAAGACCTAGTTACAAAGTCGGGAAAAGCACTGATCGCTCCACATCCCAATCTGACCTGTTAAGAATCAAAGACACATTATACTTTCCCAACCACCTGTTATGTGTCTAAAATTTTATTCCAAAATTAACAGAGGACACGAACTTGTCACTGTGTCCTTTCAAGGCAGGTCTCATTACATGTCACCTAGGACTGTTTTATGCTGAAATCTTAGATATCTACTCCTCATGAGGTAGGGTTCCTATTCAACAGAAAGCTTCCAAAGAGTAACAGAGATTGTACCTAACAAAATACACAGAAATTTACCCAGCTAAACCCAATTAGACAAGCTATTTCAAGCTAATATATTACAGAGTGAAGGTGACAATGCCAAACACTGATTCATCCTACCCGAGAAGACGAAAAGAATGAGGATGCTTTTTGCCAGCTAAATCCATGTCTCCCTCCCCCGAGTGCCGCTGCAAACCAGGCAAAGGCCCATTTCATTCAGCTTAAGAAACTGGCACTGAGGTGAGCTTGGCGCTAGAACATCTTATGTCTTAAGTTCAGTTATCAGAAACTTCGTTATCATGGTTAATAAAATTAAAAAAAAAAACAACAACACCTGACCCTTTAAAAGTCTTCTCTGTTGCAAATGCATAATTAAAAAATTACTGATGGAGGTAATTCAGTTACTCTTTAAGGCACACCGAGACAATCATTGCTTTTGAGTTTTAAAACCTGTCCTCAAACTTGCATCGGCATTTAGGTCAACTACTTTTGAAAAAAAAAAAAATAATTCTGCGTTCTGAATAATAGTAATGCATCCTACCCTATAGTAATGTCACCACCGATACTTGATCTGGAGTGAGGATATTCCTAATGCCAAGAAGAGCGTGGGACAACGACGAAGTGGCCATGGGATGCCCACCCCCCACCACCGTGCTCTCTGCCCATCACACCAACCACAAGCAGTTCCATAAGTTCAGGCCCTCAGGCAGCGTTTGAAGGACTCCCACAATCACTTACTCAGGTGCTGGAACAGGACTGGAAACGGGAGCCGGGCCTGGCATTTCCGGTGCAGCCGTGGCAGTGGCATTCTGAGATATACTTTTATTTCCTATTTTAAGAAAGATGCCTGCATTGAGTTTGATTTTCTGTAAATTTCTATAGACCATGAAAATATTTCACTATTAAAAAAAAAAAAAAAAGAACTTGCTTCTCGGGTGAGAAAAGTCATGATTCACTACCACAGACCTTCTTTTCTGTTTTTGTGCCACACCCGGCAGTGCTCAGGGCTTACTCCTGGCTCTGTGCTCAGGGAACACTCCTGGCAGTGCTCGGGAACTGTATGTGGTGCCGGGTATCGAACCCAGGTCGGCCGCATGCAGAGTAAGCAAGCGCCCTATTCACCTGACTATTACTCTGGTCCAGACCATTTCCTTTTGATTCTTTTAGAAAGAAATTATGGTAACAAGGTCACAGCTATGAGTTAATGCATATTCTTCCTCATCTCAGGTAGACAGAGCAAAGGAAATAATTATGAATTCTGTGTAATCACGTATCATTAATAAAGCTTCTAGACGTCTACCTGAGATTATGAGAAAAAAATAAATGGTTCATTTCAAATATTTGTACTTGGAACTAAGTAAGTTTTGATATTAGAGGCAAGATTGTTTTCCTAATACTTATTAGCAAGTAAGTATTATTTAGCATTCTGATCTCTAAATTGAGTGACAGTTTGATAAAGCAAAGCAAAGCATTGTTGAAGTAACACTGGGCACCGAAACCAAAGGGTAGAACTGAGTGGAAATAGAAGAGCATGGATTTCAAAAAGATAGAATTCTACTATAGGAAAAAGGACTGGTGAAAATCAAATAAGCAATTAATAATAAGACTGCTAAGTTCCTTTGGATCGTCTTCCATATTTCTAAATGAGTAACCTTGATTTATTCATCTTCCTAACTAGAGAGCCCCCTGGAGAATGAGGTATTTAAAAGACCCATAAAATGATCGTGTACCTTCTGCCAGGTCTTCAGTTTTTGCTCCCAGAATATTAGCAGCAATATTCACCATATTTAGAATGGCATCTAAAACAAAATTCAATCAGAGAAAAATACCGATATACCTAAATAATCTCATGATTTAATATTAATCTTTTTTTTAAAAAAACCATTTATAATGGTCTTTTTTGCACTTAGTACCTTTTTATTCATCTTACTACATTAAGTCCAATATAGAGCACAAATTTCAGTCAAAATAACCTAATGCGTAAGTCTGAAATTTTAAATTCAGATGGAATTTTAAATTCTCCAAGCCTTTTCTAAAAACAGCCTTAGGCATATTACATAATTTAATGTATCGCCTGTACTGTGACAGGGAAGAGATATGATGATCAAATTTTTTTTCTTTTGTAGTGCTGGGCTTCAAAACCAGGGCCTCACACATGCAAGCCACACATTGTACCACTGAGTCACATTCCTGCCCCCTGGCCTGTTTTTCATTTATTTTTTGGTTTGGGGGCCACATTAGGTGGTGCTCAGGGTTTAATCCTGACTCTGTGCTCGGGCATCACTCCTGGCAGTGCTCGGGGCACCATAATCAGTGCCAGAGATTTAATCAGGGTGTCTGCAAGCACAGCAACACCTAAGTTCCTGTATTGCCCACCCCATCCCCTGCTTTTCTTTGGAAAGGTTCTAGAGTTTAAAAAAAGCTTGAAGAAACACAAGTTCTTCCTAGTCATGTGACAATCACAAGCAAAAATTAAAACTACTGAAGGACAAATTCTGTGATTTTTTTTAATTATGGACATAAAATTACCTATTGGTAATAGTTAAATCCCAAGTTGATATAGCACACACCTAATTTCTCTGATGATTTCTAACAGTGCAAAAATAATAAGGTACACAAATTATTTTGTAAAGTGAGAGTGTGTGAGATGGGCAAGTTAAAATTCAAAACTGTGAAACTCTAAATGTTACAGGTAAACTGCATACTTTTAATATTGCCTCTCTCCAAAATTGGCATTTAGAGGATGACTAAAGTGGTACAAATCTTAATATCTAGAAAAACAGCCAAAGGTACATAAATGCCCCAAATCTAAACCTCTAGAAAAAGCCAGTGCTGGCAACAGATATCTCTGTGCAATGTGAGATAATTTCAAGGAAAATTAACTTCTACCCCAATCTTATCTCTGAAATTCCATTAGAAGCTAATTAATCAGTAGCAGGTATTCTCCTATTAAGTAAAATTAGTCTCATCCGTAATTTCCATCTTAGCCTCCTTCCCCCAAATTTTAGAATCTTAGGAAGTCTCATCACACGTTCGATGAGAACCACAGCTGTGGTTTCACAGGTAAGGACCCAGGGGGTGAACAAGCTGGTACATCAAGTTAGAAAGAAGCCACGCCCTGTCCCTGGAAACTGATCCTGTGCCCAAGATTCTAAGGCTGGAGAAGAGAGACTTCAGAGTGCTTTCAAAGTATTAACTAGGAAACTATTTTTATCCTCCTGTAATGGTAATTTCAGAGAGACAGCACTGGCCTGTGTTCTTGTGTGAAAGAGATGCCTCTGGAGGACGAGGAGACAGCATGATAGGTCGCAGTGAAGTCACGAGCCCCAAGTTTGGGGTTCCTGGCACCACAAGCACCTGGGGCAAGCAGCACTAACCTCCAAGCACCACTGGGCGCCAAGCATCTAGTTGTCCAGTCCAGCTGGCTTAGGAGTTCACCGCCATGTCTCCTAAGCACTACTTAGAAACCAGTCCCTTCCCCTGCCCTCCAAGAGACACCTCCACATGAGTAATAATAGTATTGAAAACACTGCATTTCTTCACAAACTACGGCAAAGTAGCAATTCCCTGGGAGACAAATCTCCAACAAACCAATGGCTCCATTTAGGGCTCTACCAGGCAGTGCACAGGGCTTACTCCTGGCTCTGTGCTCAGGGGTCACTCCTGGCAGTGCTTGGTGGACACTATGCAGTGCTGGGGATCCAACCAGGGTCAGCCTCATGCCAGACAAGCACCTGTACTTTGCACTAGCTTATCTTTCTGCTTCCAACAGCTCCGCTTGATATGCAAAATAAGCTACCTATGGAACCACATACAAATTGTGAACGAGAAAAATTTACTTTCTCCATCATGCATTCAGCTCCTACTGAGGCATGCCCTCCTTTTATGTAGGACTTTAAAATATATATGTACATATATTTTTTATCAAAATTTTTTTTAATCCAAAGGAACATTTTATTTTATACTAAGTATATATATATATATAGCCTTTAACATATTTGGCAATTCTAACGAAATGCAGACCATAGTGAAAATGGATCTGCAAAGAATATCAAAGCAGACAATGGTCCAGGAAATCTGCATGATAAAACGCAAAGAAAGCAAAGTGTTAAGAGGACTTCTTGATGTAAAATATTTAAATGTTCTGGCTCAAACTGTACACAAAAGATCGGAGGAGTTACTATGACTAACAGCCACACCAGCTGCTTGAACTAACTAGTTCTTCCTTCTAGGCATTTAAGTAAATTATGTATTAAAATGCCCTCCACTGAAATATAACTATATAGCAATACTCCCATCACAATCACAAATCATCCTGTTAATCGTCGATTGCCTCGAGCAGGCCCCAGTAACGTCTCCTTCATCCTAGCCCTGAGATTATATTCAAGGCTCTTTAGGAGAATGAGACCCATCATTGTTACTGGTATTTGGCATATTGGGTACGACACAGGGAGTTTGCCAGACTCTGCCGTGTGGGCAGGCTACATTCGGTAGCCTGCCAGTTTGTCCAAAGTAGGAATGAGATAATAAGATGTCATAATAGGATAGCCTAGTTCTTCCTTCTAGGCATTTAAGTAAATTATGTATTAAAATGCCCTCCACTGAAATATAACTATATAGCAATACTCCCATAAAAATATAGAAAATAAAGTTAATGACAAGGTTTTCTTTACCTAAAACTATGGTAATTACTACACTATAAACCATGCTCACTTTTCCACTAACTCCCAAAGCAAAAGATTTTTTAGTTTGGGATGACTTTCTGACCTCATCATGTAAGAGTTGCTTTTCAAAGGTAATTCAGCATCACTAAATTATGCGAGTGAAGAACAGTGAATCTTACGTAACAGAATTCTTAATATATACTCAAGGACACAACCAATAATACCAGTATCCAAGATAAAATAACAGTATTTCATCACTCCCAAAACACTATAACCCACAAGAGAATGAAGTCATCTGGTTTCAACAACTATCACTTAGCTATGATCTCTTGTAAAAATAATAACTAATGGGCCAGGACATGGTGCAGCTGTTGGATGGTACATCAAGAATACACACGACCCAGGTTGAATTTCTGGGTTGGGTCCCCTGAGCATCACCAGGTGCAGTCCTGAACTACCAAGACTGCCCGGGTATCCCTGGCACCACAGGGAGGTCACGCCGATCCCCTCCACGAGAAACAAAAGGGCACGGGTAACTAAGCCAGTCAATAGAGTAAAATATGTAATACGTAACAGAGTTAAATGTTACATAAAAGGATTCTCCTTATGATTTTTAACTCTTCTCCCTGTTCCTTAAAGAAAGCAAAGTCTATGATGGGAAAGAAGAGAAAAACAGAAAAGAGAAGAAAATCCTTAATTATGCAATGATGAAGCTATATAGACTATTTAAGTATGTGTGCTCTTGCTGTGTAGGTTAAAACACTATCAAGACTACAGACCAGCAAGAATGGAAATCAAGAATTCCAACTGAGAGCAACAAGGGATACGCAGGCAGCTGGTACTATATACGGATCTACCTTTATAAATTAATGATAAATCTAAAGTAAAACCTTCCAGTAAGTTTTCTCTTTGATAATAAACAAAAATGACAAACATCCAATATACTTACCACGTTCTAACAAGGAAACTAAAATGTCAGCTGAAATGGTCTTCCCGGGTGTCACCTTAGCCTACTACCAAGTTTTGGACACTACCAGGTCATAAGGACCTGAAACTGAATCACCAGCATCCCAGCCACTACTTGAGTTCACAACGAATACATTTTCACTAACATCCCTGCTATTGCTTCAAAATCATCACATAAAAACAGCCATCTTTTGATAATAAAAAACAAATCATTATCAACAGATTAAAGGATCCTTGTTCAATAGAACTGTATACCAAAATTTCTTTTTCATCCAGGATGAAGGTCTGGATGCCCCTATGCTGAAAGCTAGGGTCTACTTAATAAACTCTCTCCTGAAGTAAATTCATCTCCCTCTCTTTATTCTTAAGAGCTCTGTCTAGAAGAAATACTGTCGAATTAGGGCAGAATATAATTCTTGTGTTTTTTTAAATGTGTTTTTTCCTATTTTTTTTATTCACTCTTCCTAGTTTTTACTTGCACAGATATACTTTTAAAACACCAATGTATCTTTGACTTCAAATGAAAGTTCAACATGGGAGCAGAATTCTCCTAATCCAAATCATACCACCACAAAATGTTCACGTATGCTATGGAGAAAGGTTGGAAACACTTTTACAATGCAAAAAAAAACAAAACAAAACCAAAAAAAAAAAAAACACCAAACTTAAAAGACTTACTTGTAGCAGAGCCAAGAAGATTTTTTGAAGATTTATCCTCCCCAGTATTATAATCCAGTGGATAATCTGTTTCAGCAGAAAATGAAGGTAATAATGCTCAGAATTAATACCAATGAATACATTTAAAAGTTCATTTAAAGTGTTTTAAATAAAATGTTTTAAAGATGTTTTAATGTCATAAAGATCCAATGTCATTTACCAAACAGATGAAACCAAGGAAAATCATTCTACCACTAACCAAGATTTTAATCATTCACATTACTTTCAAAGTCAAACATCTTCATTTCACTTACAGGAAAGGTAGCGAAGCTTTGGTCGAAGACATCTTAAAACAACAACTTGAAAAAGTAGAAATCGGAGGTATCAAGGGCTGGAGCGATAGCACAGCGGGTAGGGCGTTTGCCTTGCACCCAGCCAACATGGCCGACCCGAGTTCGATTCCTCCACCCCTCTCGGTGAGCCCGGCAGGCTACCGAGAGTATCTCGCCCACACGGCAAAGTCTGGCAAGCTCCCCGTGATGGATTCGATATGCCAAACACAGTAACAAGTCTCACAATGTTACTGGGCCCGCTCGAGCAAAATCGATGAACAACGGGAGGACCGTGACCGTGACCGGAGGTACCAAAAACCTTTCCTACCCCTTTGGGTTATTAAAACTTTTTAAAAAGCTGAGGTATCTATGTCCTTGGTCTTCAGCTCAAGAATTATCAAAGGAATTATTAGACTAAGTTACTTTATGTGCATAACAGAATTTGGAGCTTGGCAATATTTTAGACAGTAATATTTTAGAATACTGATGCTGTGAAAGAAGAGGCTCCAATCACAAATAACTGACTGAAAAATAACTCAATATGCAAAATGAAAATAACAGGTTTGAGAGGCTGGAGAGAGAGTACATTTGGGTTCCGAGATCAGAGGAGTTTGTACACCTTCTGGTAGGCTGGCCAGAGACAGAGACAGTACATTTGGTAAGGTGCTTGCCTTGCACATGGCAAACCCAGGTTCAGTCCTCAGGACTCCAGGAATGATCCCTGTGCTCAGAGCCAGGAGGAAGCCCTGGGCACAGCCCAGTAGGGACCCACCTCCCCCAAAGTCAGGTGCACACAAGACAAGACAAGCACCTTAAACCCGTCTTTATCTTGCCAGTCCCTGTATTGTATATTAAAAAGCCACGACAGACAGAATAGTCATCTGCATCAAGATCTCTCACCATAATCCTCATCAAATAGTTCCTGGCGCTCTGAATGATACTGTGAATCTGCAATCTCCTCATATTCTTCCACCATGCTTGTACCAAATACCCTATATTAACAACAATTTCATTAAAAACCAATGTTAAAATTCATCCCCTTATTTAAAAAAATGACAAAATACATTCACTTTTGAGGACCAATAGCTTTTAAACTGCAAACTAATGACTGTTCCTTATACTGTAAGTCACTCACTTTACATTAATATATTTTCTAATTAATCTAGTGAAGGCATTTAAAAATACAAGTTTTTTTTCAAAACTTAGTCTTCCCATATATTACCACAGCAAAATAACACACAAGCTAAATTAAACACATAAACTGAAAGGCTATTGGTTTTTGGTTTTCCTTTCTGAAGTGCTACACGGGGCCTCACAGACATAAAGCAAGTGCTAAGAGCATAAGGCCAAGTGCCAAACGCGGAGCTATACCCCCAGCCGAATGTCATTTTTTGAGAAGAAATATATATACAACATCCTCAGGGTTTACTCCGGGCAGGTGCTGGGAATCAAACCTTGGTTAGCTAGGTGCAAAGCAAGTGCCCTACTCACTGTACTATCTCTCCAGCCTCCGGAAACAAACATTTAACATCTCTATTTCATCTAACAGAAAATTACTTTTTAAGCTGGAAAGATAGTACAGTGGTTAAGGCACTTGTCTTGAGTCCAACCCGGGTTCAATTCCAGTCACCCATCGGGTCCCCTGAGCCTGCCATGAGTGATCCCTGAGCACAGAGCCAGGAGGAAGCCCTGCGCACAGCGAGGTGTGCACACCCCCCCAAAAAACCCCCCCAAAACCCTACTTTTTCACATTAAGAAGAGCGGATTTCATTTTGAAATCACAGTCAGTAGACGGACTTTGTTCTGATTTACCTTATAAGGCTGAGTGGACAAAAGTGCTCTGATCCAAAATGCGAGACCAGCTCCACCTACAGAACGAGAGCGCGTAAGGGTGGGGAGCGCAAGTGTGGGCGGGGTCAGGTATGGCTCCTCCAGCTGGACTCTCCCTGTACCGTTTCTAAGATAAGGCCCTCAACCCCCAAAGGCAGTACTTGTCAAGTTGTGTTTTTGCCATGCAGTAATAAGCCAGCCCTGTCATTCAGTACCGCAAAGAGAAGGCTGCTAACCTTTAGGTACTTGATGAACATCTGAAGCAAGAAAAAGGAAAAGAAAAAGGAATCAGTTCAAAGTCCGAGTAACATGCCATAAGCAACATTTAATATTTCTAGATTCTGTTGTATAATTAAATTACAGAAAGCAATATACAGTGATGGATAACATTGTAGTACTCATAAAATTCTGGAGTTTTTTCGGAATAAGTAAAAGCAATTGTTTAAATTTCTACCTAGAAAATACGACTAGAAAATAGAGTAACTATAATGAAATAAACTAACTTTAAGATTATTAAACAACCTAAAATCCGCTATTTTATGTCATCTACAAATCTTTGTCTTCTATTAAAAGTAGATACGTATCATATACATGTATATATGAATTTATGATACATAGTGGATATCTAAACCCATATATTTGGTTGAAACATTAACAAATAAGTTATGATATAGCATTTATTTGTGATTATTCCTATATACTGTTTTATGCAAACTGTTTTAGGGAAAGAAAAAAATTTTGGCATGCCACATTGTTTCAAGTAAAGCTTTTAAAAAAAAAACCCAGATATAAATATATGTGTGTGTTTTAAGTATATATGGATATACATACACACAAACAAACATCAATTCACTTTTAAAATATAAGTATTAAAAAGTGAGTCTGTATATTCTAGGTTCAGTTCCTTTGGGATAAAAAAGAAAAATAGGTAAGCAGGCTGGAGCAAAAGAATGGTGAGCAGGGTGTTTGCCCTACACACAGAAGGCATATCTGGGCTCAATTCTCAGCATCCCATATGGTCCACCAACTGCCTCAAGGAGTGATCCGTAAACAGAGAGCCAGGGGTAAACCCACACGACCACCAGATATGGCCCAAAAACAAAACAAAAAACTAAAAGCAATCAGGTAAGCTTAAGTAATATCACCACAAACTAAAAATCAGAAGAAAATATAATTGTTCTTGGCTTAACTCTACTGTAAAAGTTTGCTTGTTAAGAAAACTAGTAATTCAAATGTTCTAGTCTCCACCATAAACAGGGCAGTACAAGGGTCAAGGCACTTGTCTTGAACGCAGCCAAGCCCAGGTAAATCCCCAGCACTGCAGATGGAGAGACTCCAAGAGACAGTACAGGGTGAAAGAAGGCACTTGCCTTCCATGTGGCTAGCCTGGCACTCCATCTGGTCCTCCAAGAAATAAGAGTGACCTCTGAGAACAGAATCAGAAACAAGCACTGAGCATAGCCAGGTGTGGCTGCCCCCACAAAAAAAAAAAAAAAAAAAAAAAAAAGAATCAGGAGACCGGAGAGATGGTACACAGGCAAGGTGCTTGCCTTGTATGCAGCCAACCTGGGTTTGATTCCCAGCACCTCATAAGGTCCCCCAAGCCCGCCCAGTGTGAATCCTCAGCACAAAGCTAGCCAGGAGTAAACCCTGAGCACAGCCAGATGTGCCATTGCACCTCCCCCCAATTTTTTAAAGGAACAGGGTGGGGAACGGTCTAGGCAAATTTTATACCACCTATGTGCTTCCATTATTAGAATGTAGATGGTGGACACTTGGTGTTTGGACTATTTCTCAATATGTGAGTCATTTTAATTTGTACCAACAGCTACTTTTAAACTTTTTCCCTTACTAACAATGTAGAAGTTGTGCTAAATGAAAAGGTAATGAAACAATTATGTTTCAGTATCTTTTTAAAAAAAAAAACTGAAAATGTACTTTTTGAGCACTTCTGAATTATCCAGTTAATTTAAAAAAATTCAGCATATTTATTCTGAAGCTAGGAATACTACAAGTTTACCCAGAGAAGTCAATTTAATACATGCTTATAAAAGACAGTAAAATCCCAGAAGATAATTAATCAGCTACAGGTTTTCATATTTAAAGAAGAAAAGCCAGAAATGAGAACTGCTGTGATTCCAAAGGTCATGATTATTAGCAGAGGTGCTTGAGGGGCTAGCAAGTTTTAAAGATGAAGAGGTGTGGAATAGGAAGAGAAATTCCTCGATAGTGAGCCCAATTCAAGAGGAGTAACTGTATTTTGGTAGATAAATCTACCTCAACTCTCGTGGAGGACAGTGACACAGAATGTCTAAAATTTTACTTTGAAATATTGACACTGAATATCTTCACTTGAACATACAAAAAGGCAAAAACTGCAATGATACATAATTGGATAGTAAAATGGAAATAACCTCAGTCAGATTTGAAGTCAAATCTCTGAGGAATTATCAGCAGAATGATTTTGAAACAAAGAAAAGTTATAAAGTAATATAAAGATAATATTTCAAGTAAAGACTCAAAGAAAATTTAGAGTGATAGTTTGAAATTTTATCAGAATATAAAAAAATCTGGTCTTTTTTCAGCTAGACAAATAGTAATGGATTAATATCTATCTCAGTAAAAAAAATAAATTCCAAGTAAGAATTATAAAATTAAAGCTGCAGTAAGTACATTCTAAATTTTTTTTGACTTTTTAACAAGTGAAATGAGGTAAAGAGTCAGAATACTTGGTAAGTTTTCATTCTAGAATATAGCTCTGAAAGTACAGACATTACCTTCACATATTTTGCATACATCTGTTCATCTAAAGGGAAACTCTGAACATTCCTCTCATCTCTACCATGGAAAGTACCCAGCTTAATCCACTTGTTTGTGGGATATCTAAAAAAAGAAAAGAAAACTTTTAAAAGCTCATACTCTACACAATGAAACACTCCATTACATACTCAAAACATATCCTGTGTCTTTTTACTTCAACTTTGAGTAAATAAACAGTGATCGGGGCTGGAGCAATAGCACAGCGGGTAGGGCGTTTGTCTTGCATGCGGCCGACCCACGTTCGATTCCCAGCATCCCAGAGGGTCCCCCAAGCACCGCCAGGAGTAATTCCTGAGTGCATGAACCAAAGAAACCCCTGTGCAAAGCCGGGTGTGACCCAGAAAGAAAAGAAAAAAAAACCCTTATACAAAAAAATAAATAAAGTGATCAAAGCCCTAAACACTAACCCAGCTTAATATACTTATTCTGTAGGTCCAACATCAACTGTAGAAACGAGCCACTGAACTGACCTGCCTGCCACAGCGCTGGAGAGACAATATAGGGGGTAGGGTGCTCACCTTACACAGGGTAATGGGTTCAATCCCTGGCACCTAATATGGCCCCTGAGCACAGAGCCAGGAATAACCCCTGAACATGGCTGGTGTGGCCCAAAATCAAAATGAAACAGGACAAGAATTTACCTGTCACTGATAGACACCAGAAAGTCTTTAGGAGTAGAAGAAAAGAGTTCATAATTTGCAATATCAAGTTGTTTTACTTGAATTGGTTCACAAAGTTCAATAACAAACCTTTGAAAAGAAGACAATTATTTAGTGGAACAAACATAAATAAGTTAACATTAGTTATGACATATTAACAGTATGCATATACTAGACATCCACCGAGTTCCTCACTTAAAAGTACAAGGAAGGACAGCTTGCAGTCTAACCTATAAGAGAACACCTTTTAAGAACTTAACCAACGACATCACTTGAGGGGTAAAAACACTAATAGAGCAAGACATGATTTCTGTCCACATTTTAAAAACATTTGGCACTACAGGGGTTAAGATGCTATCCTGCATGCAGTTAACCTGGTTTGATATCCAGTACTGTATATGAGGTCAGTCCCTCAAGTACCTCCAAGAGTGACCCCTGAGCACAAAGCCAGAATTAAGTCCCAAGAACCAACAGGTATGGCACAAGAAGGGGGGAAACAAAAAGGGCAGCATTTTGTCCAGAACTTTTTTAACCTATGACCTAAGATACACACAGTGCTGGCAACATTCAAGTTTAAACGTTTATTAAGTGAAAACATAAAGGAATCAACCTAACCCTAATATGAAAGCTTAAAATAGCAATGCACCTGCAGAACATGCTTCACTGGAGTTTTATATTACTTACCAAATTTTAGTGCTGCAAGGATTCAACATATAAAGATCCATGTTTTCTATAAGAATAGCAGATGTACTCTGTTTTTGAGAGGGAAGAGAAGAAATTACATCAGGGAAATTTCAACTGTCAAGCTAGCTTTAAGATAAAAACACTCTTGTGGGCAACAGGCAGAGAAATAACTAAAATTTCTATAAATAATACTAAGAATGGCTTTTGGATTAAATTTTTAAAATTTTATACAGGTGGGGCTGGAGAGACAGTAGAGAGAGAGGAGGGCACTTTGCCTTGCTCTTGGCTAATGCGGGTTTGATTCCCAGCTTCCTATATGGTCAGGAGTTAATTCCCGAGCGCAGAGCCAGGAATAAGCCCTGGGTACCGCCAAGTGTGGCCCAAAATAAAAATAAACAAAAAACTTTCATACAAGTTTTAAAAGTTAAAAAAGAATTTTGAAGGTAGCTCAATAGTGTTGAATACTCAGCACTGCAAAATAATAATGATGGTGATGGTGATGATAATGTTAGCAGTGGGGTGGAAGGGTAAGAGAGAAATTAAAAATGTACACTGGTGAAAGGACAAGTGTCGGACATTATGTAACTGACACCCAATCATGAACAACTTTGTAACTGTATATCTCACTGTGATCCAATAAAATAATAATGATGATGATGATGACGACGACGATGCTGGAAAAAGATTATATGTCCTTTAGGAGTGAACTGATAAAACGACAATGTATCCAAGACAATGAAATACCACTCTATGTTAAAAAGAAACAAACGGGCAACTCAAATTCACATTACTAAGTAAAAGAAGACAATCGGAGAAGGCTCTGTATTGTATGGGTCTAATATGATCTATGATACTGTGAAAAGACATATATGAAAATAAAAAAAAAAGAGAGGACTGAGGAATTTTGAGGACAGTAAAATTATACCATATATTTATTGTAATAGTGGATCATTGTACATTTGTCCAAACGACAAGAAAACAACCTTAATGGTGGAATCCTGATTTTAAGTGAAATGAGAAAGCACCTCATGCTATAGTTTCAAGCACACCATTACTTATATATTAAAAATACCAGTTCTGTGTGTGTGTGTGTGCGTGCGAATGGTGTGTAGGAAGAGAGAAATTTTATACTTAAGTACCTTGGCTTCTGGATTAGCTGCTAAAATTTTGGCACCACATTCTACTGAAGCATAGTTATTTCGATTTTTCTGGACCTTTTTTGAGGCATGGAGACCTCCATTAGAAGATGGATGCATTGACTGACCTGCAGACAAACCTTATTATAAACATACAGGCGATAATTACTGTTATGAACACCCCCAGCAACACAATCATCTCCAAAGCAACAGGCTACTATCTAGAAAACAGACCTCAATGGTTCCAAAAGTATTTTTTAAATCTAACAGAAATTCAAAATACTTAATTCAACAGCTTTAAAATAAAATATCCCCAATAAATGACATAAGCCAATATCAGTTGAATTATGTCTAAGTAATAAAACTCAGAAATTGAAGTTGGTTCACGAGATTCAAAGCATTTTGCATATGGTCTTATTCTACTAATAAATGAATGTTAGCCTTCAGTCTCTAACCCTATTGTTAAGAATTCTTAACTTTGATTCATTTTACGAAAGAATAAAGACAATGCAACACTCCGGTGCAACTTCTTTAGTTTTCAAGATTTTACAACTCTAAACTTGAGGGGATGAGGGGATGGAGAGATATCATCTGGGGTCAAGGGCTGCTTGTCTTGCATGTGGCTGACCCCAGTTTGATTCACGGCACGGCCCCCTGAGCACTGCTAGGAGGAAACCCTGAGCACACAGTCAGGAGTAAGTCCTGAGCATAGTCAGGTGGGTCCAATACAAATCATCCCTCTCCCCACTCCCCCCATACACACACACACACACACACACACACACACACACACACACAGTTTACAAGAGTTTAACTTTACAAAATGAAGGGAATAAAGCTTTTTTTTTTTTTTTTTTTTTGCGGAGGGTGGGAGTTGGGGAGAGGTGAGCCATACCCTTGCAATTGCTCAGGGTTACTCCTGTTTCTGTACTCAGGAGTTAATCCTGGCAGTGCTCAGAGAACCATACGGGATGCTGGGAATCGAACTGAGGTCAGGGCAACTTGCATGCAAGGCAGACTGCAAGGCAAGTGATCTGCTGCACTCTCTCTCCAGCCCCGAAGGGAAGAAAGCAAATTTAAACCAATTCCTTAAAGAAAAAAAAGAAAAAGAAAAAGAATGCCTGTTTCCTTACTTTTTTCTTTTTCTACTTCCATGACTTTTTTCTTCCATTCATCAAAAGTTGGTATTGCTTCTGGGTCTTTGGGGCTTGCTACAGATGCAGGGTGCATTTCTCCTGGTTTTGGATGATCAGAACTCTGAAAGACCAAAAAGAAAAGAGACTTCAACATTCAAAGAACACAAAGAAATCAATTAATTATGAGTAAACAAAAATAATTGTCAAATTAAAGTCCTATTTAATAATGAATTACTGCTTTTAAAAATAAGGTTAAAAAAAAGTTTCTGGTTCTACTCAAAGGAAAGACTCACAAACCCATCTCCCCAGGTATCCAAGAACAGCTTCAGTAAGCTAACACAAAGAACAAGCTCACCTACAAACAGGACATCAGGCCTGAATTGTTCATTTTTTTGTTTGTGGGCTGTAACTGGCAGCACTCAGAGTTTACTCCAGTCTCTGTGATCAGGAATTAGTCCTGACTGAACGGGGAAGAACCATATAGAGTGCTGGGGATTAAACCCAGGTCAGCCACATGCAAGGCAAGCATACTGTACCCCCTCCACAGCCCCTTGAATTTCATATTTGACAATCGAAAGCTCCAGACGAGATACTTGCAATATTTGTCTAACACTATGCTTGTAGTTTCTAGTAAGTGAACCATAATATATTCTTGATTTGGTTTTGTTATGAATATGAGTTCTTCAAGATGCTGAACTATACAAAGTGGAATTTCTCTACTTCTAAGGAGCATTCTAGAAAACAAGAGTTGGTCCAGAGATAACAGTCTGCAGGATGGTGTCTGTTAGCTGTGTGTACAGACTCACTACAAATAACGAAAGAGAGCTGGAGAAGAATGAAACAAGAAAGGCACCGATGTGGATGCGTTACCCCTCCTATGTGTTGTGTTTCTGTTCACTTCATAGAGACTGTCACCTTTTTCATTCCGGGGCCCAGGGCAGCTCAGTAACATATTCCCTGCCCTTCCTTTGCGGGGGTGCGGTGGGGTTTATGGGCTACACCCAGTGGTACCAGGGCTCAGTCCTCGCTTAATTCTTTCAAGGACCACATGTGGAGCTAGGGATCAAACAGGGATCCAACTGGGATCTGTGGCATACAAGGCGATGTGGGCAAGCACCCCTGACCACATCACTCCAGGCCCGACAACACTGACCTTTCACCCAGCTTCAATCCCCAGACTACAAAAAAGGGCATTATGACCCCAGCATCTCTTTCACCTGAAGGCAGCCTAATCTCCTGTCATTATCTCTCCAGAAAATTATATACAAGCTTGTTCACAAAGTCCAAGGAGAAAGCAGAAGGAAAAAGAAAGTGAAACTGCTACATGAGGCCAGATCCTGTCCTTATAATAAGGATCATACTCTTCAATACAAGCGGGTACAGTTGCAATGCACTTTGCAAACAAATAGTAGGATTTCCCGTTAAAATTCTTCTGGCTTGAGAGCCTAAATTTAACCTGTATGATTAAGCTAACTTAGATTCTGAAGATTCTTAATTTTAATAGTTACCTCTTCTAAATCAATCTCTAGGAAACTGCATAAATAAGTGCTTTATGTATCTGGTATCAAACAGCTGGGAGTAGGAGGAAACCATTTAATGACCTGGAATCCACTTGCTGCAACAACATAGTAACCATTTGCTCTCAGGAGAAAGTTTTCATGAGTTCCATATTCATCAGTCATTACTCAACTCCCAATTTCATGGAAAATATGGTTAACAAATTACAAGAAAACAACTATTATTTTTTAAAGCACCGTACCATAAAATAAGAGAGGACGTTATTTACCTACCTCGTTTTTTAGATTATCTGAAACATTCAATGAAGGTTTTGAATCACCACCATCCTGCTCACTTCCTGAAACTTTTGATTCAAATTCTGATTTTGTTATTTTTCCTCTGCCATGTGAAGATGATACATTTTCTATATGCTGGCCAACAAGGCTATTTGAGAAATCAAAAGACATATAAACAATTTTAGACACACAGTGTCTACACATTTTAAAGGGATATAATTATCACATACAAAGCAACCAAGAAAAGAGCAGAAGGGATCAGCTTTTTCTCAGGTCATAAAATAGAACTCAGCACACACCGAAGTTGATTCAAACGGGAGGTTTTGAATGGTGTCATTACAGAACCACAAAGAACAAACAACTCTCCACACCCACCTTTCAGTAGCACTGACAAAGGCAGGCTGGTCAGCAGGAGCACTAGCGTCCAGGGCCTCACCAACATCACAGTCAGTCTCAGCCTGCTCTGTTTCACCAGGCTTGGCTAGAGGAATAGTACCAGATTTTTCTATTTCACTAAAAATTAGAAAAAAAAAAAAGAATCTGGCAACTTAATGGACAAGTTAAAAATTTTATAGCACAAATTAATGATTTTCACGACACAATCTAATCTACAGAACAAAGCTTTATTTATGTGTTCCTTTTTGGGTCACACCCAGCCATGCACAGGGGTTACTCCTGGCTCTGCACTCAGGTGTTACTCCTGGCAGTGCTCGGGAGACCATATGAGATGCTGGAAATCGAACTCGTATTGGCCTCGTGCAAGGCAAACACCCTCCCCACTGTGATATCGCTCCAGCCCCTAGAACAATGCTTTAAAGCGCTGGAAAACACTTTCAAGAATTCACTTATTTTAGATCATGTACAATCAACTAATGACTCTTGATCTGTTAATTTTTGTTGGCTTCCAAATAGCTAGTTACCAAATTTTAAAACCAAAACATAGGTTAGCATTTTTGTCAAAAATAAAATTTAATGATCTGGTCTAACTTTCTTGGGGGGGGGGGGAAAGGAGGGAGAACAGGGAGTGTCACACCAGGCTATGCTCAGGGATCAGTCCTGACAATACTTGGCAAACCATATGGGGTGCCGAGAATCAAACCCAGATCAGACACACGTAAGTAGTTCTCCCTGCATTACTTTCAAGTCACTATTTAGTCATGTTCAAGATAATGAAAAAAGAAATGGTACCATTCCTATATACAGTATTTAGTCCTAAATTCTTTCTGGAATATTTTAGAATTTTAAAGTGTTAATTACCATCATAGTTTCTAAGTATGTCTACTACTCCTTTGTCAGTCCCTTACATGGTGAGAACAAGTGTTTAAAACTTGCTGTTAGCTGGGGAGATAGTACAGCAGGTCACGGTCCTCCCGTTGTTCATCGATTTTCTCGAGCGGGCCCAGTAATGTCTCCATCATGAGACTTGTTACTGTGTTTGGCATATCGAATACGTCATGAGCAGCTTGCCAGGCTTTGCTGTGCGGGTGAGATACTCTCGGGAGCTTGCCGGGCTCTCAGGGGCGGAGGAATCGAACTCGGGTCAGCCAACATGGCTGCGTGCAAGGCAAACGCCCTACCCTCTGTGCTATCGCTCCAGCCCAGTACAGAAGGTAAGTTAGAGTAATTAAGTAAGTAAGAGTAAGTAAGTAAGGGGAGAGTACAGCAGGTAAGGTAAGACAGTACAGCTTTGCGTGTGTCCAATCCTTGTTCAATCCCCAGCACCACACAGGGTCCCCAAGCACCTCCAAGAATGATGCAGGGCCAGAAGTAAGTCAAGAGCACTGCTGAGTGTGACCACAAAATGAAAACAGAAAATAATTGCTGTAATATCGATAGAAAGAAATGTTAATGTTATTTACTGACACGTACACATAAACATATATATATATATTTTTTTTTTCCTTTCTTTTTAAATAGGGGCCACCCCCAGCAGCTTGGGCCCACTCAGGGAAGCAAAGGCAGGCAGGTTCAATGCTTGTGTCTGGCAGTGTGACACTCGAGCCTGGACTTGCTGGGGGTCAACGAGGGTCACACCCAGGAGTGCTCAGGTGGGGGGGCAATATGTTGTGGTGTCTCAAACTCTCTACCGCTGGAGCTATCTCCCAACCCTGACACAAATATCCTGACTGTGCAACACATATTGTCCTGTGCATTACATATGTATTAATTCATTAATATAGGACTGAGACAAGGAATTTTAATATTTTCTCTGAATCGTTGTGAAATATATTATAGATTTTCTAAATTGAGAAATCTTAAATCTATATATTCCAAAAATTTTAAATTTAATTGTAAACTTTCAAAAGAAAAGGAAAGAAATGTGTCAGGTTGGGGATATGGTTCAGTGAAAATCTCATGTCTTCCATCTATCAGGTCCAGGATTCAATCCCTCGCGCATAGCAAAACAACCAACATTATTCAGCAATATTCTTTTTCTTAGCTTTGTAATGACTTACTCAAGCTTGGAGATTGGAGTGATCTCTGAGGTAGATGAGCTGGAGATATTTTCAATATTTTCACTGTCCACAACTATACTGGAAGAATCTTCATGCAGATCCACTATAGGGAGTGTCTCAAGCACAGACGGACTTAACTGTTTGGGTTCCGCATTCTATTTAGAAATACAATCACAGTAAATGCTAAGATTAATAAATGACGTAACAATAGGATTGAATGTTTACGTTTCTAAAGTGATAGTATAAAGAATGCTTGCTGAAAAATGACTTTCACAGAAATGCCTCTAACACTATCGCCCTAAAAATGTACTTTCTACTGGAAAGCAGTCCGGCAGTGGGGCTGAGGAGATGGCTCAGAGGGTAGGAATGCATGCTATGCACGTGGCATCCCATGTGGCCCTAACATGGCCCTCTGACCGCCCCTGGGAGGACCTGTCCCAACACAAAGTGAAATGCAGGCGCTACACACTTTTCACAACATTGCATACACTGGAACAAAGGAACTTAGGTTTCTTCTTTCCTATCAGGACCAATAAATATTTCCCTCTCACTGTAATCAATGCTAGTAGTTAGCATAGAAATCCTCTGTAAATTAGAGTCTACAACATTTGTTCTTGCCCCTGAGCAGTTTAGAATATGATGTATAATGACAAGGTATACAAAATAACATTACAAACTAACACATGACTCTTGCTACTCCTACAATCCTGAGTGTCTGGGTCATCTTTTTCCTGTCTAAGATATTATCTGAGTTCCACATTATACACACTCTAGTGGGCGAGCTCTAGCAGCATCACAGAGTTTGCTATTCCCTCTGAATGCCCATCCTGTTTGTCCAGGCTTTAATCATGGCATCACCATTACAACCAACTCAAGGTAGGTCCCCTCTGCTTCGTTCTATACTGTCAGTGTCATGCTGAGGACTATTTTCTCCTGGTATTCATGTTTCCAGTGTCTGGCACACGGCTAACATTTAGTGCATACTAAATAAATGTCCTAGGAGAGGTACTGGTGCTGGGTTCCAAGGAAAGACAGACCACAAACTGAGAGAAAGCAGGAATCCTGAAGAGGAGGGTCATTATGGGCACAGGAAGAAAACACAAATAATAGGCTACAAAAACATTATCCCAAAATCTAAAAGACTTTCAGACTCTAAGATGCATGAGGCAAAACAGAACCAAAATATCAGAACACTCTCATTTTAAACGAATAATTGCATTTATTATTAACTCTTAGCTTGCTTCAAAAGCAGTACTCCTAGCAGGAAAACAGTCTTCAGTCGCATAGTACGTCAAAAAGGGGAAAAAAAAAAAAACTACGGTGGTCAAACGGGTTTTTAATCTTATGAAATAGTTTAGAGAGCATACTATTAAAAACCAAAGCAAAATAGCTTACTTGTCCATCCACAAGGAAATCATCTTTTAATTTATGTTCTTCTGGAGGAACAGGTAAGTTTGAACCCACTTTTTCCAACAATTCAGGATTGATAGGTTCCTCTCTTTCATCCTATATTGCAACAAGAAAATGACTAACTGATAAAATTGTCTCACAACAAAAATCCTAAAGCAATAATATAGTGCATCTCACTATACTTTACAGTCCAAACATGAGCCCGTATGCATCCGACTCATTTTATCCCTTTATCCGCCTGCTGTGGCTTCCTACACTCTCCTCCTCACCACAACTTAACATGTACAATCCATGAACTCAAGAACCTCAGCCCATTTCTTCATAAGCATATTATAAGGTTGCACTATGTGTTACATACTAAGATTTCAGTAAATATTTGGTAAATGTATGCCCAAAGAATTTTTGTGTCATCTCTCTTGTCACTCACTTTGAAGTTACGATTTATGTCTTTATGTCTTCAAATGTATTTTCTAACTTTTAAGTTTCACGGAAGCAAAGCTCGCATTAATCTTTGTTTATCGAAACTGATATAGAGCACAAAGTAGGGACCAAAATGTTCGAGGAAAAAAAGTTTCCTAAAACTAATACTTCCGTTTTTTCATTGAAGAAGAAATTCAATCTAAATCTTACAAGTTGTGGGCAAAACCAAACTAGTTGGGGAAAGAAACTCAACAGGCTTTCAGAACTTGAAATGCCCGGCCCCATCAAGTAAATGCCATCACAATTTAAATAACTCACTCTAAGTATTGTGCAAAAAAATCAAAGCAGGTACTTAAGTATGTGTGTTTACACAAACACATAACACTACATGCACACACATACCAGCAAACCATGCGAGAAGTATTTTATGAAAAAGTGATAAAGGGCAGGACAGACAGCAGGCTAAGACAAGCTCTGCACATAGACGTGGGTTCCCATGACCCCGAGCCACGCCGGGAATGAGCCCCTCGCAGAGAGCCAAGAGCAGTCTCAGAGCACCACCAGGTATAGAGAAAGATTATTAATATATTAATTATGATAATAAATTATCAATGCAATAGAATACAAAATGCAGCTATTCCAAAGATGCACCTTACAAACATGTAAAGGTGTCTGTTAAATATTGGGTGAGAGGCAACAATCTGCATAATGTTAAAATATGAAATTTAGTAAGTTAAAAACACTTGGGGGATTGCAGCCATAGTACAGTGGGAAAGGCATTTGTCTTGTACGCAGCCAAGCCCAGGTTCGATTCCCAGCATCCCATTCAGTCCCCTGACCACCACCAGGAGTAATTCCTGAACACAAAGCCAGGAGTAACCCCTGAGCATCGCCAGTGTGACCCAAAAAGCAAAAACAAAAACAAAACCACTTGTTTCTACACACTGAAAACGATCTGAACATAAATTAGGGTTCCTTAGGGAAATGGATAGAACACAAACTGTGAATATTTTATAGTCAGTATAATAGTATAATTATTGGTACAACTTAAAAAAACATGTTGGCTGATGAGGAAAAACCAAATTAAGTTGATGCGTACCTTTTATCACTTAAATACAAAATAATAACAGATACTTTTAGGTTATTCAGCTTCTATTCATTTCATTCAATTACACAAAACCACATAGCCACAGATACAGACCCTCTCCATCAATTCTCATTTCTAACAATCTTTCAAGCATCTAATTGGGATTTACCTTAGCAGCTCTGTTAAGAGCTGAGAGCACTGAAAATAGTCATTAGTTTTCACTTCTCTGAGAAAGCACTATTTTTCTCTTTACTGCGACGACATAAGGGTGTTTATGACATTCTAAATACAAACAGTAAGAATAAATACCTATCTCAGAACTATCTTAATTTCAAAAGTGCCTCAGTGACACCTCGGATACTAGCAAGTAAAATTACAAAATCTCATCAAGAAGTGCCAGGGTATTTGAGAAACTAGTTTTGGGGAGTGTTCAGGAAGTCTTAGAAAACTGACAGTCTCCAACATCAACTTGACCGAAAGTACCTTTTTCTGGAACTGTACATCTTCATTTTCAAGTGCACAACTGTCATCTTGAGGGTAATAAGACGAAGCTGCAGAACTTTCTTTACAACATACATGCCAACTGGGAAGCCTGCAAAACATTCACCATCACCATCACCAAAAAGAAAGAAGGAAGGAAAAAGTGTTAAGCTAGCATATTCCCGACGACAGGATAACACGTGAGGCGATAAAAACAGATGGAGGGTTCCAATCCTACTTCCCTTAAAAACTGAAGAATTTAATGATGAAGACGGGGTTTTTACTCAGTCCTTGGAAAAACTTAGTACTTTCATCACCACTCTAAGGAAGACTTTACGAATTTTTTGAAAGTAAAAGGGGAAGATTTTACAATAGGATTATGTTATCTGATAATTGCACCATAGCACTGTCCTCCCGTTGTTCATGGATTTTGCTCGAGCAGGCACCAGTAACGTCTCGATTGTGAGACTACTTATTACTGTTTTTGGCATCTCGAATACGCCACCGGGAGCTTGCCCAGCTCTGCCGTGCAGGCGGGATACTCTCAGTAGCTTGCCGGGCTCTCTGAGAGGGATGGAAGAATCGAACCCGGGTCAGCCACGTACAAAGCAAACACCATACCCGCTGTGCTATTGCTCCAGCCCATCTGATAATTATCATAGAAAAAGAGAAAGTTGTCAAAAAGCTAACCCCCTCAGAGTATCAGGTGCTAGTGATAATCAAAACTAAAGGTGCCTAAAATGATTTGGCCTATCGCCCCTTTCCAGGAAAAAAATTATGTAGCATCCTTCCTGGATATCTACTGCCTTTACAAAAAAAAAAAAAATCTGAAGGTGCCCCATCATCCCTCAAAATACCCTGGGAGGGAGGTGGTGATTACTGTCCACTTAGGAAAATGACATTTATTATATTGGTAAAAATATACTGATTATAAATATATGGCCTCCTAACAATTATGACGACTACTAATGCTACTGGTAGAGGCAGAATAAGAAAATATCATGGATTCCTATTTTAATTACCTCTCACAAAATGAACAAAAACTAAGGAAACATACGGTTTGTATTACATGAACTAGCTTGATCAAACTACCAGAACTTCATAAAAAAAAAAAAAACTATCATTTTCAATCACACCTGTATTATTTCCAAATAGTGACCCTTTGTGCTGGAGTCTTCAAACACTGAAATTCCAAAAAATCCAGATCTAATACTCTCCACACCTCAACAAAATTCAAAGCAACCAAAAAACCTAACGTCGGTAACACTAGAAACTATAAAACTTGCAACAGAATAATTCTGATTAAAGATGAAACCATGAAGACTATTAGGAATCATTACTGTGAAAATCCACAAGTAAATGGATGGCAGCACAAAAGATCAACAAGAAAATCACTGACAGGGGCTTTGTCCCTCTCCAGCACACTTGGGAACAAACTCTGAAACAAGAGCTAATCTGTACCTTTAAAAGTAAAGTAAAGTAAAAGTAAAGGCCCTCCCATTGATCATCGATTTGCTCGAGCGGGCCCAGTAACGTCTCCATTGGAGACTTTGTTGTTACTGTGTCTGGCATATCGAATACGTCACGGGGAGCTTGCCAGGCTCTGCCGTGCGGGCGAGATGCTCTTGGTAGCTTGCCGGGCTCTCCGAGAGGGCTGGAGGAATCGAACTTGGGTCGGCCATGTTGGCTGCGTGCAAGGCAGACGCCCTATCCGCTGTGCTAGAAATCACTGGGAAAAAGGCAAAAGGCTAACAACAGCGCTGGGGAGAGTTGCCTAGAGATAGGATACTGGGAGGGCATTTGCCTCCAATGTGGCCAACCCAGAGTCTGATCCCCGGCATCCCATATAGTTCCAGAAACAACCAGGAGTGATTCCTGAGTGCAGAGCCAGGAGTAACCCCTGAGCACCACCTACTGTGGTCCAAAAATCAACAACAAAAAACAAAAAAAGAGCCGGAGAGAGAAAATAACAGGGAGGGCACTTGCCCTGCCTGCAACTGACAGAGGTTCAATCTCCTACTTTCCATAAGGTCCCCTGAGCCCCACCAGGAGTGATCCCTGGGCACAGAGCCAAGAGTAAGTCCTGAGCACCACTGAGTGTGTGTCCCCACCCCCACCCCCACCCCCAAAAAAGATGAAGAAAACCGTATTTAAGTTGTCAGAAGAAGTAACAGTAGATGAACAAAAGAGTTGGTGATGCAAATAGTACAAAAACAACCAGTCACAAACTCTGAAAGTTATAAAGCATCGCACACTTTTGTAAGCAGCAACCTATCTGAAAACAGAGGTGAGAGGTATTTCCAGGAAAGCAGCAAAACTGGCACAAACATCTTGTTGAGAGCTAAGGCTGACTGTGGGTAGGGTAGCGAGGACGATGGAAAATGGGAGGGGGGTAAAACAGGGTCTAATCGCGTATCCTTTTCTTACTATGAATAAATCAACTATTCATACCCTAAAAAAAATGTTTTGGTAGATTAATCAACACCACACATATGTATAACAGGAAATCCCAGTCTGGTTTGTTTTTCCGGTTTTATGTGAAAATAATTTCAAAATTTCAGAGTAACTGCCAGCATAGTACAAATACCCCCAGACTGCTCCACAGATCAGCCTACTGCAGTGCACCCTTTGTTCAATTATTTCAGGGCACACTCCCTTCCCCACCCATGGAACTTCTCACTGAGTATCTTGTTGTATTTCCCTAGAATAAGGACATTTTCACCTATAACCAGAGAACAGTGATCTACTCCAATGCATATTACACTGGCACACACACAGAAAAGTATCTTTCAATTGTGTCAACTACCCCACTGGTGTCCTACAGCACCCCTCCCCAGTCCCAAGGACAGGACCCAAGGGGAATTATACCCTTGTGTGGCCACTTTCCTCAGAAGCTCTTTAACATGAAATCGTTCTTGGTCCATTTACTTTTAAAATAAAGTGGCCCTCATGTATCATGATGACCAGACTAGTTACCCATGTTTTCCTGGCCAGAATTCTCCCTAAATGATGCTGTCTTTCTCCAGCAAATATAGCCAGAAACATACAATAGCCATCAATTTCAGCACCTGTGATTATATTCTGAAGTTCTTCTCAAGAAACTTAATCTACGGGGCTAGTGAGACAGCCAAGGTTGTAGGTAGATCACATGCCTGGCACATACACAAGGCCCACGGTTTGATCCCCAGCACCAAATTCCCACACCCCACCCGACTCCCCTCAGAAATGACAGGTGTGATCTCATTTAAAATTTTTTTTTAAACTGCAAAAAATAAATAAATGAAACCTAGTTTCTCAAATGTTTTCTAGAGGGGCTGGAGTGATAGCACAGCGGGGAGGGCGACTGCCTACGTGGCTGACTTGGGTTCGATCCCCAGCATCCCACAGTGTCCCCCATGCACCACCAGGAATAATTCCTGAGTGCAGAGCCAGGAGTATCCCCTGTGTATCGCTGGGTGTGACCCAAAAAACAAAAACAAAAAAACAAAACAAAACAAAAAGACAAATAAAAGCTTTCTACAAAAATAGCTCCAGCAGCTTTTACTCCTCATAAACATAAAGTGGAAGCAGCCAGATGTCTAACAGAATAAACAAACTAGTATACTATATTCAGACAGTGTGTTACTTCTCACAACAATAAAAAAATCTGAAACCTCTTATACTGCAGACCATTCACGTGACCTCCTTAAAGCTCACCCCTTCTTTCACTTCCCTTCGGGGTTATTATTTGAGCCCTTGAATACCCACAGAGGTTCCCATGTCAAAAATTTACTCCCAAATGATCTAAAGAACTCTCATCTAAGTCTTAACAGCATCAAAGCCTGCATTTCCGGTCGCCTGGATAGCTCTTGGATGGTTCACCTCCGAACACAGGTACTTCTTTCAAACTCTCTGTAACTCCTTCATTTCGTTATGAAAACCTCCAATTCTAGTTCTCCCCAAATCAGAGTGAAAAAAATTCTTCTTTCAACTTTATTTCAGATTTATAAATTCCAGACACAGTAACAACAAAGTCTCCAATGGAGACGTTACTGGGCCCGCTCGAGCAAATCGACGATCAACGGGAGGGCCTTTACCTTTACCTTTATAAATTCAGATCCAAGACTATATTCTCACACAATAAGCTCCAGGAAAAGCTGCACAGCACACGGTAAACTGAGGTCTTGACCAATACCCTCAACACTGTAACAGAGACGCAAGGGGCATGAAAGACAAAGAATTAGACACAGACTAAAATCCAGACCCTTTAAATCCCAAGTCCAATACTAAGCCAAGCTACACTGACAGCTTGTCAATCTATCACCAATCAAAGCAGTCACTTCCTCAAAATCTCTGCTCAATGCTTAATCGATTGCCAACCTAAGGCCTTGTTATGGCAAAACCCAACTATTGCGATTGCTGTAGTATTCATTCACCCTCTCCAAGTCTCTCTTGTGAGATCAATTCAACAAAATGATGTAAAAATGACTTAAAAAAAAAAAAGACATTTTCAAACACCAACTTATCTTGCTGGATCTTCACCGTCTTAAAACTATCTGGCTTAAATTACAAAACTAATCACAATTTCCAGAATACATCTTTTGTTTCCTAGTTAGACTTATCTTGTTATTTCAAGAACATTATCTTCATTCATAACTCATTCTCCTTGAAATTCAAGTATTACCTGATTTGTGCGTGCAGCAAACTGGGAAAAGGCCATTGTTCACAGTAATAGCATTAGGACCTCATTCTGTGAAGCACCTTCTATGAAAGCAAAGCTTCTAAAACATTGGTCACTCTTTAAACTCAAGTCAGGTCTTCCCTGATAACACCAGTCCTAATTTCCCCCTTCGTTAAGCACCCACTAAATAATTCAATGTTTTGCATCATTTACTATATGTTCAAATCAGTTATTTTAGGATGTTAGAAGTATAAACAAACAAAAAAAATCTCAGAATTCACATATTTTAGTAGTCATGACTGGAATGCACAAGAGTATTCTAAATTTACTGAGACAGAGTCTCCAGGAAAGCATACGAGTCCTACGTTTGTTCTTTTTAAGGCTCATGAATAATTCTAAAACCCACTCCTAGTTACACCAACCCAGTCAGTCCCACTTTTCTAAAAGGTAGG